GATTTAAAAAATGTGGCATATATACACAATGGAATATTACTCAGCAATAAAAATAAAATCATGGCATTTACAGGTAAATGAATGGAGCTAGAGAAGATAACGCTAAGTGAAGTTAGCCAATCCCAAAAAAACAAATGCCTAATGTTTTCTTTGATATAGGGAGGCTGATTCATAGTGGAATAGGGAGAAAGAGCATAGGAGGAATACACTCTAGATAGGGCAGAGGGGTTGGAAGGGAAGGGAGGGGGCATGGRGTTATAAATGATGGTGGAATGTAAAGATCATTATTATCCAAAGTACATGTATGAAGACACGAATTGGTGTGAATACTTTGTATACAACCAGAGATATGAAAAAGTATGTTCTATATGTGTAATAAGAATTGTAATGCATTCCGCTATAATACATAAATTTTTTAAAAGTATGTAAAAAGCTATGTGTAGGTATATGCAAATACTATATTTTATTTAAGGGACTTGAGCACCTCATGACTTGATATGGTATTTTGATATCCATGAGAAGTCCTAGAACAAAGCCCCACTGAAGGATGACTACAGACATGTATGTACATATGTATATGTATATATATATACACCACACACACACACATACCTGACTGTGTATGTGTATATGTATGTGTGTGTGTGTATATATATATATATATTTCTTGCCACAAGTCAACTACAAATTTAGCTTTAAACTTTCTAAAAGTCAACACATAAAGGAGGTCTTGTTTATATAGCACAGTGAATTTTAGATAACACAGAAACATAAAAGACAAGGTAAAATTTTCTCCAAGGTAAAATTTTCTCCCAGAACTTCTGTAACAAAGGATATCTTTTTTGAACTGTTGTTATACACAGGATTCTCATTACCCTCAGTGTAAATATTACTATAATCCCTAGATCCAAAGTGATAAGACTGACACCGTGAATTGATAACATATCAAAACATAACTTCATAAACACAAATTCTGTAGAAAGGAAGACAGTGTAAAATGAATACCTTCTTAGTATTCTACTTACTRATTTGCCTTAAATTACAGGGTAAATTTTAGAGTATTTATGAAATACTTGAATAATGCTCAGAAAATACTGTTTTCTCAACTGATCAAACATTCAGTAAGTGCTGCAGACAATGTCTATAAAATGTAGCTTGCTTGGAAGCAAATTTAGCAAGGAATGAAATACTTAAAGAGTTTCTACGATCTGCCAAGAGAGGTCTAGCTCACTACTGAGGAGACAGATAAATGCTCCATCCCCACCCCTTGAAGAAGCTTCTGAGCCAAAGAAGGACAGATGCAGAGAACAGAGCCCCTAACCTAGCCAACAGCAGGTAGGGCGGGGGGCGGGAGAGGGGCGCCTCYGGGGATAGAGCTCAGTTGGCAGAGTCTTGCCTAGCATGCACAAGGCCCTGGGTTCAACCCCCAGCACCACCAAAGAAACAACAAAAAACCTAGCCAAGCGGGGAGCAAAGGAAGGTCTCCTGCAGTAGCTTAGAGGAAGAGTAGCGGGTCGGAGGAGGGGAGTGGCACCTCAGGGGAGTGTGAAAGCCTCTAGTGTCAAGTGATGCCTTGGAACACCTAAGATCTWCGTTGGATGGGGGGGACAAAGTGGAAGAAGTGGGTGACAAAAAAAACTGCATTTCATCCTCCCATCACAAAGCACACGCATCGCCATTGCTTCATAGCTTATTGAAGCCGCTTTTTAGACATTCCCCGCAAAAACGAAACTGGCAGATCCAACAGGACCTTCCAGGAAAACCAACTACCCGGACCCTTYCCACCTCACCACAGTACTCCCTATAGAGGCGCTAGCGTCGGTGCGCAGGCGCTCTGCATGACCTAGAAGGCCCCTCCCGGAGAGCGAAAGCTAATAATTCCGGGTTGTTACCAGAGTTCCGCTCTAGCCTCCAAGCTTCCGTTTCTYTACTGCTCCCCGTTGTAGATGCCCGGAACTGGGAAGCGGCTGGGGGCGGGCCTTCCGGGACAGGGGCGCGTGGGGGAGGCAGGTCAGGACCAGGTAAGGCTGTCGGTGACTTGTGGGGCTCTGCAGATATAGTGGTGATGACTCGGGTGGTCCTGCGGGGTCTCCAGTCCCAGGAAGAGGACCAGTCCATCTCTCTAGTGACCATTTCTCTAGGTTTCTCGTGTATCTCACAAACACCTCGGCCTTTTCCGGCTCCTGTTGGGGAATTTACCAAATGAAGGACGCCAGCGTTTTTGCTGCCGTAATTTCCTCTCCGGCGCAGTTAACTCTGTTGCAGATTAGTTAGCAGGTGCTTGGTTCGTTTTCTCGGCTCTCCAGATCGCCGACTGCATCGCAGCTTGGCGGGTGGGTGCTGATTATTTTTATTACCCTTTTAGGAAAATTTTTGTGCACCACTCCACTGATCCAGATGTCGGTTGACCTGATACTACTGTAGTTTCCATCCCAGGGAGGGGCGATCCAGTCAGACAGGGGACTCARTTATTCTTACTGACTTGAATAAAGCCAACATATTCACTGCCGTCCATGCCCCTACGATTTAGTAAAATAATAGGTACCCGGCACTGCGCGGTGGCTCAGGCCGGTAATCCCAGCGGCTCGGGAGTCTTGGGCAGGAGGATCGCAAGTTCAAAGCCAGCCTCTGCAACTTAGCGAGACCCTGTCTCCAAAAATAAAAAGGCGAGAGATTTGGTTCAGTTATTAAGCGCCCCTGGGTTCAACCCCCCGAACCTAAAAATAAAATAATCGGTATTGGGCATTAAGAATAATAAAGCATTCCCATTGGGTTGTTTTTCTGTGATTACACGTGAGCACAGTGTGTGCACGTACCTGGGATCCCGATGAGTGAGCATTGTGCCATACATTTTGCATTGTCAGTCTCACAATTCAGAGAGGTGCCTGAGGGTCTCCATTTAGTAGGTGAGAGAACCGAGAGACTAGGAATAAGCTACTACAAAAAGACATGGCCAGGCAAGAGTCCAACTAGCTGGTGCTTTATGCTAAGCAATAGTTTTTGAGAAACTGGAGAAGACTTTCTTCCCAGCAATAAACACACGTGCACATTTCAGCATACAACTTTAAATATTCAAAAACAGGCATATCCAGATTAAAAACTCCTGCACTTCATTTTCACCTTTGAAAAAGAAAAGTCTAATTCAAAACCAGTTATTAAAATAAAACTGATGTTTTAAATGCATCAGACTTATTGAATTATCAGAGAATCTGGCCTTTTTGTGTTAAAAATATGGAAATTTTCTTGTGTGGACCTAAATTGTTTTGCTTAGCGTATTTGAGTGTTTTTTYTCAGTCTTTTCAATTCCAGTTAGTTTTTTATCCATACTGTAATTTTCTTTAGATCTCATTTAAAGAAAAGTACCATTTCAAAGTGACTATTTTGTATCCCCAAAGAATGGTTTTATGTGAATCAAAAATAATTGACATGTAAATTATTTGCCTTTTATTTTAATATCAAAACAGGGTCATCATATTCTTTATCTTTTAAGAGAATTTTGAAAGATTCTATAAGGAATCATGAGGGTCCTAGAAAGGACCAAGGCTTTTGAATTTTTTAATATTTGAAGCTAGTAAAAAGCGGCAGTTTGTCTTAGGACCTGTACTTATGCACAGCAAAACCTTTTATCCTGTTTGTTTTGTTTTGTTTAAGAAGTATACCAAGCTCTTCTGTCATTCTCCATCAAAGATGTATATGTTGGGCTTTGTGGAGGAAAACTATAAGGCAGTGGTCATTTTCTCCCTGTTTTGCAGGTGATTCTTTGCTTCCAGTAAAGGACCTAGATTTGAAGAGGCTTATTCCCTTTTTCTGTCGTAAATTTTTTAGGATTTAGTTTTTGTTATATAACTATGTTCCAATGGATTATAATCTGACATTATTACCTATGAGTTATGTTTCCCAGTAACCTGCTTCGTTGTAAAGTGGGCATGGAGATAACAGCCTTCTGTGATAACTTAGCCTCAGTAAGTCTCTGCCTCCTCTTTGCTACCTGTCAGTTTACCAAAGTGCTGGTCCCTCCCCTTGTTTCTCTGGCTGCCTGGCTTTGTAAGTGAGGAGATCATTCCAGGGAGGTACAAGTATAACAGGATGGAGATTTTCCCCCCATGATTAAGTGAGGACAAGTAATCAACAAAATGTGTGTGTGTGTGTGTGTGTGTGTGTGTGTGTGTGTGTAATAACACCAAACTTATGAAGACATTTAGAGTTTTTCCTTTTTTTTCTTTTTAGTTACTATTTATTGAGTGCCACTATCTTACTCATTTCTTAATCTTGCAAACTTTGTTTTCAGAAAAAGGGAACTCAAATCTAGAAAAGATAGTACCTGTTGAGAATAACCCAAGTAATAAATGACAAAAGAGACAATCCTCAAACCTAGATCTTGAGACTCCATGCTGCCTTATTTAAAAGTAAAGTGATYTGGCATTCAGACCTTGTTTTCCTGAAAACATTGTAGCAGAACAATAGTTCCCAGACTAGCTTCCAAGTTATCTATAGAAATACTGCGTAATTAAGAGTAGGAATCTATTCTGATGCTCTAAGGGTAATTATGCAAAACAAGGTAAAGTTAATGAAGAAACTGTTGTTTATTAAACTGGTGTTTGGAAAAAAATTAAAGATGGAAAGAGGAGAAAAGGAATTTTTTGCAGCTTCCAAAAGTGACTTTTGGATATTTGCAAAGCCTTGAGAGGTTTATGGCACTGACTTGTTAACTATTTTTCTATTAACATTAAATTGTTAATGGCCCTTTTTTCTCATTGATAAAAACATAACCTTAGTYCTAACAGGTCCAATCCCAACCAGTCTGCATCCACATAATGCAGCAAGAGTTGGGAGAGAAGTGAATGGAAAAGGAAAAAGGAAGAGCAAGGCTTGTAGGAGATGTTCAGACTGAGGGCTGGGGAAACCTTGGATCCAGCAGTTCTCTCCTTGCTGGCCTTCAGGTGGCACTATTGACCCAAGATTGCTTGGCTGGTGTTCAAAATGGTAAATGGTTTGAGGTTGACATTTTGCAATTGGTTTAAGATCAGCCTGTGTTCTTTTCATGGATCTTGAAATGGGCCTTAAAACACGTGAGTTTGTTTATTTTCTTGCAAGCGTGATTTTGAATTTTATCAGATGAACAGAGCCYCTGCCCCTCACCTGATGTGCCTCTTTGCTTGTGTGTGGGAGCTTCTTTTCTCTGCTGGTGGCAGTTCTTTGGCATTCTTATTTCCTCCCACTCTCTTGGCATTTTCATTTTTGTACCCTTTTTRATAATCTCATCTAAATAATGTGTACTTCACCTTTAAGGATCATGTGTAAAAATTTGAATAGCTCTTTTAGCACATTGCTGTTTTAGAGTTGTTAGTTCTTCAAGATAAATATGCCTTTTTTCCTTTGGAAATCAGCTCCTTTTTTTCCCAGCTGAACTTTCCCCTAAATAGCCTTTTAGTCAGCAAAGATTCTCATCTCATTATTAGAATTTCACATAAATTGTAATATTCTGTAAGCAGTAACCCACATCTGATCTAGAATACAATGACCTTATTCCACCAGCAATATTCTTAATTTTTATGTATCTCCTATGTACCTTTTGATGTCCTTTTTCCTTGTCTTGTGAGAATTGACCCCTGTGGCACTCTACCACCARGCCACATTCCCAACCCTTTTTATTTTTATTTTGAGACAGGTCTACCTCAGCCTCTCTAGTCACTGGGATTACAGGCATGTGTCATTGCAGCCAGCTTTGTCTGTTAGCTGTAATTTTTGCATATCATATTATCAGGTGTGTGTGCATGAGCGTGTTTTGCTAAGGATTGAAGGCAGGGCCTCATATTTGCTAGGGAAGCTTTACTGAGCTATGTCCCTATCCTCCTGGTTATCATTCTTATACCCATTTCAACACTCTGCCTCTGAGGAAAAAGTTTTTTAGCTAGTAATAACTTTAGTTAGTTTTCTAAGTAATATCACTGTTCCCAGGTGCTTTCTGTTTAGGAATAAAATGAATCTTTTGAAATGTTGATCCTTATTTGAGCTGTTGAACTTTTATTTCTGTAGGACTACTATCTTTTCCCCAAGTGGCTCTCAGTCTCTAGGCAGAATTCAATCCAGTAACCTAGAGGCCAAATGACCTCATAACTCATTAACAGTTCTCAGAGCCATCTGGTGCCCTTGAGGAGAATAGTGTTCAAAGGCCTGATAATAAAGACGACAACAGCATAATTATTTCTCTGCCATGATTGCACCTTAGATGGCAAGCAGTCAGCATATTTATTTGCAGATTGCTTAGGTGGTGGTTTTTAAAGGTGTAATAACAAAGCTGTGGTAGAATGACTTGTTTCCCTATCCTCTTCATCCATCCTGCAAAATAGATAAACTATAAGCAAACACCTGCTGAATCACAAAGTAGTTCTCATTTGTAAAAAGGGCAGTACATCAAAGAAATGATATTTTGTGAATACAAAATGTGAAAATTCAAAATGAAAAGCATGCAAAGGAAAYAGCTGTTTGGGCTGTGGATGTTTCTCAACTCCAAAGCATGTCTTGCGAATAGGTGATTCATGAGTGGCTTGCTATATCTTCATTGTSTAAAGCGTTCATTAGATAAGCTCAGAATTTCTTACACTAACCTGTTTTTCTTCTCATTTTCTGTAGGGAGTCTCCTAGCTGCTCAAGAAATGTCTTCRCTTTCAGAATATGCTTTGCGCATGACTCGTCTGAGTGCTCGGCTCTTTGGTGAAGTTGCCAGGCCAACTGATACCAAATCCATGAAAGTAGTGAAACTATTCAGTGAGCAGCCACTGGCCAAGAGGAAGGAGACTTACGACTGGTATCCAAATCACAACACATATTTTGGTCTCATGGGCACACTGCGTTTTCTTGGCCTCTACAGGTGATGACAAAAAAAAAAAAAAAATACAAAGAGGACCCTGTGAGAGATACTCTTAGCGTATTATCAAAAGAAAAAAGTCAGCCTTTCAGCTAATAAGGTGGCCTTCCTRTCCTTATATTTCTGTGGTTCTTACAAGAGAGCCAGATAGTTCAAAAGGTGTACTTTATGGGAACAGGTTGCTGTCAAAATATCTATGAGCAAACCAAAAAAGAGGAAATACATGCTTGTTGGCAAACAATTAGGACTAAAACATGACTGATATAGAATTTATAATGAGCTGTAGAGAGATTTTTAAATATTCATTAACCTAAGAACACTAAAAAGGATGCAGAGAAAAACTGGTCCAAATTCTGAGGAAGAAAACCCCAGGAAGACCACGGTTGCCCAGGCAGCAGGTTCTTGACGAACAGAGTCCCTGCCCCACWCCTGATCTGCCTCTTGGAGGGTGTGTGGGAGCCTCCTTTCTCTGATGGTGGCAGTTTTGTTGGCATTYTCTTTTCCTCCTACTCACTTCTGACATTTTGTACCTTTCTGATATATTAATTTGATCTAATTAAGCTGTAGTTCACCTTTAAGGATAACGWATCAATCACACGGGCTGTTAACACTATGCATTTGTACGTTTGGGTAAATTCAGGAAGTGAGTGCTTTGGATTAGACCTCTAGAAAGAGAAAAGATAAAATACCTTTGTAATCATTTTTCCTTTTTTTGTTAAATATTTTTAGTTGTAAATGGACACGGTACTTTATTTTATTTATTTCCTTTTTTATATGGTACTGAGGTTTGAACGCAGTGCCCCACATGTGCTAGGTAAGTGCTGTACCACTGAGCTACAACTCCAGCCCCTATGTATCATTTTTCTTTAAAATTTTTTCTTTACCAAAAAAATACATGTTCTTGTTCCAAAGAATTAAAACATTACATAATTATATAGCATTAAAATACATAGCATCTTTTTAAAGATTTAACCTATTTTAATTGAACTTATCTTTGGGCAACAATACAGAAATTAATTTGAGACCATTCTTTCAATTGTGATTAAAATTTTTAGTTCAGCATGATGTTCATTCCGGAGAGCTAAAGGTTGGTATATTCATTAATCCAACAGGTATATCTTAAGTTACATGTTCAGGTACTTAAGATGAGAACTAAGGGAACAGCARTATTCAAAATGGAATTGGTTTTCTTAGTTAATAATATATTAGAGATTAGAGTTCATGATCTGTTTTTAATGTCTGGAATTGCTTGGGACTATCTCCCTCGCCATTAGTCTGAGCTCAGAAAATAAAAACTAATMTTATTAGTATATAAAATAAAATATTGGGAGCCAGATCTTCTGAGTACAAGATTATAATCCATAACAAGATCACATTTTAATGTATCTGTTTGCAGCTGTTCTCATTTGTTTGAAGAGCAAACACCTGGCTATGTTTAGAGACAGGAAAAAATACTTAGCACTTAGTTTTCCAAGGAAAAGCAACATTATTTTCATGTATTTAGTCACTAGTTATAGTAAACTGCACCTCTAATGTAGGCCTCCTGTGACATCAGGCAGGATTAAACTACACAGTCCCTTTAGTAAAGAAAATCTGATTCAAAGGCCTGCAGAACAGGGAGGGAAGCACAGGTTCCCAGAAATAATTGGTTCAGTTAATAGGTGCTGGGTTGTATCATAAACAGAGACAAACCTCCCTGCTTTTGTGGAGCTGTCTTTGTCTCCAGGGGTTGACAGGGATGGGGGAGGAAAGGAAGGAGGAAAAATAACAAGTAAGTAAATTATGTGATATAGTACAAAGTTAAAAAGACAGAGCTGGCTGAGCAGGATCCAGAGGGCTGAGAGGGCCCTAGTGGGTGGGGAGAGGCCATGTTACAGCATTCAACAGGACAATCAGGGTCAGCTACATCAAGGAGATGAGATTTAGGCAAAGGCTCAAGGATGGTGAGACCTGAGAAGAGTTTGCAAGGCAGAGGCAAGAGCAGAGCAAAGGCCCAGATGTAGGAGCATATCTAGAATGATCCAAGAATATTGCAGGCTAAGGAAATAGTGGGGAGGCAGGAGACAGGTAACGGGGTGGGGGGTGGTCTCAGCTCCTGTGGGTGCACAGGAGGCAGGTGACAGGAGTCTGTGGGTTTTGCTCTGGATGAAAAGGGGAGCCATATGCAGGAGTCACATAATCTGACATATTTCAGAATTGCCCTGGCTGCTGTGCTGAAAATTATTTGGCATTTTTAGGTAATCCTGAAGAAAAGTCTGTTGTATGCTGTTCATGTTCACAGAATAAGACACTGAATTCTGTAAAGCCAATCTATTTTAAAATAGTCTAGAGAGTTGAAATTCAGGCCCAGCAAACCCTTCTAACATTTAATTCATATACCATTATTATTCATAGTTTATGGATGAGGAAACTAAGGTRTAGAGAGATAAGGTCACTTATCCAAAGTCACAGAGCGACCAAATAGTGACGCTGTGATTTGAACCCAGGTTCCAGTGGGTTCCACAGCTTACATGTGTAAGCACTATACTCTTGGTGTTTGGTCTTAAGATATAGGCATTTTAAACAGTTTAGTCCATATGCATAAATAGTTGTAGCAGCCTTGATTTCTATAGTATGTTTTTTGATCTGGCTTCCTTCTCCCTGAGCCTTTCCCTGCAGCCTCTTTATGTGAAGTATCTACTGCCATTAAAGCCACTTCCTCCAGACCTCTGCCCCTTGTTAGTAGATACTGATTCCTGGGGCAGTCAGGGTCTCTGTGTAGCTACTGAACTCTATACCTGATTTCTGTTCCTCTGATTGTTTAGTATTAATGTAGGGAAATTTGAAGTWGTTACTTGTGAATATCATAATTACATAGGGTTACCTGGGCTGGCCTGGAAGATCAACTGCAGTTTGTGGCATTGTTTCTATGAGGGAAAACTCACTTATAAATGAATTTTTAGAAACAAGGGGAACCCTTGTACTTTATTCAACAAATTGAACATGTACCCTGAAAAGTCAAGAATCAATAACCAGAACAATCTGAGAAAACAGTGAAAGATTGGTATAGTTTTTCAATATAATAAAAAATAACAAGTTAATTATTTTTTCCTTCATGCAGAGATGAGCATCAGGATTTTAAGGATGAGCAAAAGCGTCTAAAGAAGCTTCGTGGAAARGGGAAGCCAAAGAAAGGAGAAGGGAAAAGAGCAGCAAAAAAGAAGTAGTGTTGGCCCATCAAGAGAGAATTTCTTCCTCAATGATTATGAGAAGAAAGTACCATCTTTCCATGTATTAGAGGAATGTACTCTGCCTCAGTGAAGGTTACTTGGAGAGACACAATCCTCCCTGTATTGAAGTCTAATTCAATTAAATGGTGACTGGTAGCCAGGTGTGGTGTAGCATACCTGTAATCCCCGTAATTTGGGAGGCTGAGACAAAAGGATTGCAAGTTCCAGGCCAGCCTCAGCCACTGAGCAAGACTTTTTTCAAAATTTTAAAATATGAACAAAAATAAAGGGATGTAATTCAGTGGTAAAGTACCTCTTGGTTCAGTCCCAGGTATCAAATAAAATTGTGACTGGTTTCTTGAACACATTCAAATGCTACAAATGTCCTTGGTTTTGTAATCTGAGGTTTTCTTGATTCTCTAATGGAATGAATACATAAACTATTGTTTAATGACTTGTTTGGGTGGGGATGGGATGTTGAGGGAGTGGAAGGGAACCTCATTAAGTGAGTGTCCTGCAGTACCCTCATCCCTCCCTCTTATCCGCCCCTAAACTTCTTTCATCTTTCTGGCCACTCAGCCACTGTCTCCACCACCAAGCTCACAAACTTTATRTACACCTCCACCTGCTAAATGGGATAAAAGGCCATTATAGGAAAGGGAATATTGAGTCCCTACTGTACACAAGGTACTGGAACCTGGGTAACCCCATGGTTAACAAGAGAGATAATCCCTAACTCAGGAAACTTGCAGCCTTTGGGGGTAAGATTAATATAATTATGTACAGTTGTATTAAGTGATACAAAGGAAAAGTCTGGACTCCTGAGTGGGAATGAATGTGGATMCAGAGAGACTGCCACAGGCCCTACSTTATTAGGGAACTTAAAGAGGGCCTTCCTAAAGAAATTATTTTTAAGCTGAGCCCTGAATGATAAATAAGATTCAGACGAAAAATTATGAGAAAAGTTTTTGAGGCAGAAAGAACACTGTAAAGCCCTAAGGATAGAAACTGTCTTGTTAAAAATTGAAAACAGACCAGGAACTGGTTCATGATTGGTCATAAGGAACAGAGGCCAGACAATAAAGGACTTTGCAAGTCCGTGGGAAATCTCAGATGTGACCAACTTAACTGAAGRTCAATTTGTATAAGACATTATTCCTATTGGAGATGACTATTGCACATATCTGGGTAGCTAGTTTTGATTTTATTGTATTACTGAGTATCCAAAAAGATTAGAAGGGCCTCTGGTTTTATTCCTCCAAAAGTTGTCCTGAATCTTTAGCATTGTCCAGTAAGTTTTTTTAAAGTTTTTTTCTCAGTTGAGATAGACAGATATAAATATGTAACAAAATTTAGCATCTTAAAAGTATTAGAATTCAASTGAATGCCTAGAACCTTACCACCAACCCACCAACCTCGAGATTGCTCCTCATCCCCAGGTKTCCTCAGGAGTATGGGCTGCTGCATTGCAAAGGCTCTACTGGGGGAAACATACAAAGCAGTATTGGCATGGGTAGTGGTGCATCTCAGATCATTTATTCATGTCATGTAGTAAGCGATACTTATCTAAGGGTATAACAATGTTCTATGTTCCCATTAACAAAGCCTGCTTAAATTTACAGGCAGACTGACGATTCTGCAAGCTGGCTAATGATGACCATGAGCAGGTGCAGGACTTGAACCTTTCAAAGCTTTACTTTTATCAGCACTCTTGATTTTATAAACAATGAAGCTCATCAACCCCATTCCTACCCAAATCTCTTGGTAAACCTGGGTATAGTAGGGCTTCAAGTGGATCTAGTCAGTAGTTTTTAATAATGGTTTGAAGCATCTCAGCAGAACCAATGGCTCAGGCTGCAACAGACTGCAAAGCCAACAAACCATCTCAACCATTTTTAAGTGAGCAGTGCAGTAGTGTCAACCTGTACAACACATTGTGCTAAAGTACTTTTTAACCCATTTCCACCACTAAGGCAAAGAAAGCAAAATGCACAGGCTAGAGTCCATATAGCAGCTACTCTACCTACAGTTGTCTTTCCCTGCAACACTGAATGACTCCTGATCCCAGTACATATGTTTWCACAAATATTACTTTTAAAAATGCATAATCTAGATTGTATGGCTATGGCTTATATTATAGCCTGTTTATTTAAATAAATAAATAAGTAACTGCCAGGCAAATGATGCACACACACCCATAATCCCARCAGATTGGGAGGCTGAAGCAGGAGGATCGCAAGTTAAAGCCAACCTCAGCAACACAGTGAGGCCTTAAGTAACTCGGCGAGATCCTGTCTCTAAATAAAATATTAAAAAGGGCTGAGGATGTGGCTCAGTGATTACRMACCTCTGGGTTCAATCCCTGGTACAAAAAAAACCTACCTAAAACTAGGTGATTTGTGCCTGATAGAAGTGAATTCAAACAGAAGACTGAGAATCCATTGGTTTAAAGCTCCTCTCTGAGCATATGCCATGTATGCCTGACACAACAGTTGTAGAGGATATAGAAACTAATAGATGTCGTCCATAAGACTGTGTGRATGAATGAGTGTGTGGTGTCTGTGTTTTATAAAGTATTAGCAAGAATACTTGGGAAGTTGCTTAGAAAAGTGCAGATACATTATTATTGGCCAATGCAGCTGAATCAGGTGTGGATGAATTGGGCTGAGGAACAGGATCTTAGCCTGAACCCAGTATAACTAAATGATTATTCTGAATTATGTCATCTTTTGAAGAAGGCATAAGTGCAAGAAGTTAGGAGAATTAGCATGATTGTTGTAGAGTAACTGTACTAGATGCCAACAGCAGACCTGAGTCAGGAAAAAATTAAAGAATCAGTGTACTGGTTTAGCTGATGGAAGGAAGAACCTTCAGTGAGACTCTCATACCCTAAAACTGCAAGAARCCTTAGCAGTGTTTGATGGGAAAGTTTGTAAGTAACTGAGCAGAAGATGAGTGTGGCCACTGCTCCATGCTAAATATCAGAAACCAAAGCTAAAAATTGTTTGCACATAAGTTGTACCCTCAAACCAMCTGTGAGAATACCACACAATTCAGCCTACAGTGAACTGCAAGGGACCAGCTGGGAAGTAAGATGAGAAGGACATTTCAGGACAGCAGTGCCYGAGGGTTCAGATGGGGATAAGTACAATCAGGAAGAAAAAAAAAATCTCTAACCCCAGGTTTAGACTAGCCAAATTGTTTAGCGGGAGTTTTAGTCAAAACTTAAACTATGATTTCCCTTCAATGTTTGGTGTTTAGTGTGCATGGAAGATTTTGCTCTTGATTTCAGTATGGCATAGTAAAAAGAGGCTGGGTTTTTTATTAAAAAATCATGGGCTTATGACAGTGTACTTGCTGTATGATCCTACATTACCTTCTCTGAATTTCTCTGTAAAATCACAATAATACTTCACTGGATTATCAAAATGTTCAGGTATTTGTGAAAAGGACTATGTAGTAAAAATTTACTCACACGTTTTTATGTAGAGTATTTTGTGTGACTAGTAAGAACTGCTCTTCTAGCAGATTTTCCAAGATAGTATTGACAGATATCTGCTAAAAATATATAGTTCTTAGTGCTGGGGGTTCAACTCAGTGRTAGAACACTTGCCTGAGCTTCATCTCCAACACCACACACACATAAAARTAATTTTAAATTATCCTTTTTTCCTCTACATTTAAATGCAGCGTGGTAGGTTCTAGAAGAGAATGTAGGTTAGAAATATTTATATAATTGTTTATAGAAACTCATTTTTAAAAAACACAACATACATAAGTAAAAGCATAATAATAATGCTTTAATTTAAAATACATTTTCAAAGAAAAAATACAGCAAAATTTTAAATTCTACTTTCTTGTAAGTGTCTAATGTTAGAGATTTATTGCTGGTAACAAACTTCAAGAGCAACAGATAGGATAAAACATGCCGCAGTCTGGCTGGGCAAAATAACGGGGGAGGGGGGTTGACAAGCAACTTGTGAAGATTGAAACAGCGGGAGCCGCTTTATTGCAGGACAGCAGAGGTATATATACCTAACTGATTATACACAGCTTGACTTAATTGACATCATCTAGATACAGTAGTCAGCSAATAAGGAATCTCCATCATCTTAATGGCTCCATGGCGTTGCCTCACAAACCACTCCTGGCGAACTGCCAGGCGCCATCTTGACTTGGTTGTGGTCCTCAACAATATCTTTTAACCTGCCAACCCTGTTAATGGCTCTTTTTCATAATTACTCATGACAAATTAAAATTATGTATTTACAAAAATATTGAAGCTGGACAGTGGCACACACTGTAATCCCAGAGGTTTGGGAGGATGAGGCAGGAAGATTGTGAGTTCAAAGCTAGTCTCAGCAAAAGCAAGGTGCAAAGCAACTCAGTGAGACCCTGTCTCTAAATAAAATATGAAAAAGGACTGGGGACRCAGCTCAGTGGTTGAGTGCCCCTGAGTTTAATCCCTGGTACCAAATATATATATGCACTGGAGGTGTCCACGCTCAGTGGTAGAGCACTTGTGTAGCATGTGTGAGGCYCTGGGTTCAATCCCCCAGTACCCTCCCAAAAACAATGAAGCTGGAAAGGTGGCATGCACCAGCCTAAGCAACTTAGCAAAACCCTATCTAAAAAGAAAAACATAAAATCAGACAAATAAACAGTGATACATTCAAGAAAACTTAGATAAAACAAACAATAAAACCCTAGATATTGAGATAACTGGAAAAACAGTAAAATATTTATGCTAAACTTAAAACAATAAGAAGTTTTTTAAATGATACAGGCAGCAAAATGAAGAGAGGTCATAAAATTGATGTGAGGACTGGCCAAAGAAACTACCCAGACATAATTTCCTAAATCACCTGGAGATGTGGCAATAATATAGATTCATGTTAACCCATTTTGTCCCACCGTCCTGGATGTGGAACATCTATAAAAACTTAAGTATAGTATGTAATATAATTATATAATGCATAATGTAATATTAAGAAGATAATTATAATGTAGTAATATTAATTAATATACATAAATTCTAGATTATTATCCAGCCTATTTTAATGTACCTTTGTAAATTTTATTAAAATAGTTACAGAACTGAGAAGTCGGGACTTGATGGGTTGAAGTAGAAACTAGAKTTAAGCCAAAGTAGATTCTAAGATCCTTTTTCATTCAATTTAATGTGTTTTCTGAAGAAGAAAAGATTTGTTTATGGAGAGCTTTCTTTATCCCTAGTACAGAAGACCTAATCTCCTCCTAAAATTGTCTCAATAAGAGAWTTTAAATTGATGCTCAGTGCAGAATAATCTTCTCAAAAAAGTCACAAAACTATCCATTGGGCCACTGYGGTTAGAATACAAGTAGCATTACTTTTATGCTAAACAGATACTGAAAGTCTTGGAGAGAGCACAGCTTAATCTAAAAAGAACTCCAGGTGGGCACAGTGGTGCACACCTGTAATCCCAGTGACTTGGGAGGCTGAGACAGGAGGATTGCAAGTTCAAAGC